AAAAAAAAAAGAGATTTTTTGACCTTTTTATTTCTCGACTTCTTGCATGTGTTTGTTCTTCTACCTTTTCCTTTAATATCAGTGGCACCCTTATATGTTTTGTTCAACATTCTAGAGGTATCAGAAAAGGTGATCCAATTTCACCTATCTGTTTATTACGGTTTCAGAAGCGCTCTTGTCATTTCCCACCTCTTTTTGGCTGATGATGCAATTTTGTTTATGAAGATAACTTTCATGCTCATGCTCACTTGATTCTGAATTTGCTCTCCATTTATGGTGATTCTGGTCAACTAGTTAACCGTGATAAATTCTCAATTTTCTTCTCTAATAACATTTATGATGGAACAATGATAAACATCTGCAATGTTTTGAGCGTGATCTACAGTCAATTCCACTTAATAGACCCCATGGTGATAAGGAGTTCTAAACTTCAAATTTCTTTGAGTGTGTTCAAAAGAGAGTTAAAAATTAGAAAAACAACTTCCTTAGTGAAGTAGAAAAATAAACATTGATTTTAGTTTGTGTTAGGGGCTCTCCATACTTTTGTAATGTCTTGCTTTAAAGTTCCTTCAAGTGAAATTCAGAATTTCAACAGAGACATCAGAATGATTCATGAGGTGAAAGATTGCAATGGGCTAGCTACGATAAGGAGTCAGATCATAAAGAGTCAAGGAGTTTGTTTAGCTTTCAATTATTTGAATTTTTTCAATTAGGCTTTGCTAGTCAAACAGTTATGGAGACTTCTCACTAAACCTAATTTTCTGGTTAGTAAAGTCCTTAGAGGTAAGTATAAAAAATCTCATGGATGCCAAAGTCAAAAGCAATGACTCTTGGCTTTGGAAAAGTTGGTTAGGGCAAAGGGAGGCTTTTAAACTAGGTGCTAGATACCAAGCTGGGATGGGAGGGCTATTGACATTTGGGATTCCCTCGAATTTTAAATAATTCTTTTTGAACATCTTTGTAAATTTCCTACCGATATGATTAGATTGAGTAGGGTAAGTGACTTGATGCTGGATGGAAAGAGCGAATGGGATAAAGAGTGTGTTACAAACTTTTACCCCTCTTGATGCAGTGCAATTCTAAATTCCTTTAAGCCACTTTAGAAAGCATTGATTTACTTTTTGAAAAACACTTAATAATATTTTGAAATTACTTTAACTTTAATTTGCGGGATGCTACTCAACTGTAATCAATTCTCTTTAATTACTATGCATGCAACCACGTAAAATTCATTCTAGAATTAAGGCCATGAAAATTTACTAGAATTACACATGCATTCTAAAATTCTCAAATACTGAAGTACGGGTTTGATATTCTGAAATACTGGAATACTGAAATACTGAAAGATTGTTCTGAAATTCTGAAAAATAGTTTTGGAGTGCGGAAGCAAATATAAATTCGGAAAGCACACACAAGCATAAATAAACATGCAACAACAAAAGATAGTTCCAACATGTTCAAACAGATACATGACATGTCATATAAAAAATATCCTGGCTGATGACCACCACCACATGACCACTCACGCTCTACAAGAAACTCCATCACCTGAAAAATGGGTAGTGGAGAGGCGTGAGCAAAAAGAATCAACGATGCTCCGCCGGGACCGTCACTGAGTACTCAGCACATTTAATAACAAATTATGAAATTGGCATATATATAAGTAAACTGGTCTGACTATGGGACTAACGATAAATCGATACTCATGTGCATACTCTGGGAGTCTCTTCCCACATAAATATAGGAAAGGCATTAATCGCCCCATCTGGACGCTAGACTTAGGACGGGCCATAATTACACACATCATAGTGATAACTGAAATACTGAAATATTGACCAAGAGGGGATCACTCATCCGTCTCAGTCCTTCAATTTAATCACACATAGACCTCAGACGTGGTAAATTATTAAAAGCGATGAAATACACAGTACAGTGGTCCCCATTTGGAAACTGGCGAATGCAAATGCTGAAAATACTGAAATGAGTAGTTGACGGAGGCTCGACTCTCCTCAAGCTACAAAATTATGAGCAAAATATTCTAAGTACTGGGATCAGAATAAAACTCGAATTTTTATTATTTGATTTGTCTAGGTTCGCTCACTCTTCTTTAAAATCATTTTAGGGATTGGCGAGCTGATTTTTTAAAATATTATTATTGTCTTTGAGGCATACTAGAGTTCTCTGAAATATTTCTAAGACTGGACCATATTCTGACTGAAATTAATTCTGACTGGGCTATAATCTAACTGGACGTAAGTCTATCTGTAATTAAATCTATCTGAAATTTATCTGAAATATATCTAAAATTTTATCTGAAATTTTATATGAAAATATATATCTGAAATTTCTCGAACCGTCCGGACTGATTCAGCTGAACTGAAATTCTCTTGGACTGCCCGGACTGGTTCGACTAAACTGGACCGACGACTCACTCTGAGCCGGTCGAATATTCTCTTGACTATGTGCAGCTCAGTTTGACCATGGTCGAGTTCGGCGTGGCAACTCGGGCCCGAACTCAGAACAGCACGAACTCGAATGATGCGGCTTAGACGATGCACGGGTTTGAACCGGCGCAACGACCACTGACGCAAGGGCGAGCTTGGACCACGGCTAACGTTGAAAATTCTCGTTCGCCTATCAAACGAACTCTAAAATTTTTTCGATTCGCATCTTAAGCCTCAATGCAACGCAACGAATTTTATAAAATTTATTTCGACATTTTATCACATTTATTTAAAAAGCTTGAAAAATAGACTTAAAGCTCGAAAAACCCCAATTAATTCAATAATCACTCAAATCATCAATTTCTCGATTTTATAATATCTCAATAATCACAACTAAGCCAATGGAGTCGAGTTCAAGCCAAAGTACCTTAAATCGGCTCGAATCAGAGGTCGGGAAGTCGAGAAAATGAAAGAAAAAGGATCAGTGAAGCGAAACTAGGTCGATGTTGCTCAAACGGGTCGAACCGGAGTGGGTGTGGAGTGGGTTAAATCTTCTCGAGTTGACTGGGTCTGAGTTGGCCGAGTCGGGCCAAGTTGATTCGGTGAGTCGCATATCACGGCGAGTTGAGCAACTGGGTCGCGCGAACCGGGTCGCTGGGGTCGGGTTCCGGTCCACAGGCGTAGAATCGGAGCCGATTGTGGCGGACTCGGGCCTGGACTCGGCTGACTCGATCGTGGTGTCTCGCGGGTTGGCTGGTGCGCGTGGAACCGTGTTGAATGCCGAGCTGGGAGGCTGGAACCGAGCTGAAAAGGCGCGTGGAAGGAGTTGTTAGGCTGGGTTGGTGGCGGACACGCGCGTACATGGGAGCAGCGGGGTGGAGCTCGCGTGTTGCAGGTTCTCGGTGAGTTGGACGACTTGAGGAGCTCGGTGTGGGGTGGAGTAGCGGCTTGAGGTTCGATTTGCCGGTGGTTCGATGCAGGTGAAGGTTCGAGCTCGGGTTCGGGTTTGTCGGAAAACACTAGGGGATGGCCGGATTTTTAAGCTCAAGCCGTGGATGTGGAGAGCTTGAAGATGAAGGTGAGAGCTAGGGTTTGATAGGAGATGGTGTGTTGATGATGATGAATAGTGTAGGGGAAATGAGCTCTTGAAGTGGCATTTATACACATGAGGTAGCTAGGTTTCCATTGTGTATCGGGCATCAAAATCGGGCTTTAGAAATCATACAATAGGGTTAGATAAATTATTTTAACTTGGGCCGATTAATTCGAACATTGACTAAAGAAAATAATGTTCGGCTAAAATTTATCAAACTTGGACTAATTTAATTAGTCGGTCGAATTTTTCTAAAATAATTGGGCTCGAATTTAAAAATTGACTTAGGCTCAATTATTAAAATGAACTGAAATAAAATCGAACTTGGGCTCAATTAAACATAAATGGGCTACAATAAAATAATTGGACTCGCTCGAAAATGATTGAGGCTCGAATAATTAATTATTTGGCTTCGATTTACTTTAATAATATTTCGATTAATTCAAGGCTCGGTTTTTAAAAAATATAACTGATACTTGGGCTAAATAAATCTGACTTTAATAATTAAAATCGAGTAAATTCTCCATGGCTCAGAACTTAAACTAATTACTCAATTTAATGCAAATAATAATAATAAATACATCAAATTAGGAAACTTAATATTTATGGAAATAAAGTCAAGCTCCATAAATAGTAAATTATAATCTGGGCGTTACAATCTATCCTCCTTAAAATATTTCCGTCCTCGGAATTGTCAAAACTAAACATAAGTCCGACTTAACTAGA